CTCCATAGATCCCACCATTTGCCCATTTCAATCTCATAGCCAAAATTTCTCTCCCATGCTATTAGAAGGCTTTTATTTTTATCCTCTTACTAAGTCGATCAAATATATTTTGAGTCAATCAAAACGGGACAGGGAAACCTTTAAACTTTTAAGCTTTTCTCTCACTATTCTGCTTCCTTCCCGACATCACTAAAGAATCTTCAGTGTGTAACGCTGAGTGCTGTCATAGTTAGCTCCCAAAAATTAACAATGATTGTTAGCTTTTAGGCAAGAATCTATTTGTAACTATTCTTCCTTGTTGGCTTTTACAGCATCTTGGCTATTTTTATGATTAGTTTTTAATTTCTTTTTTGCCCAAACTACCTATCAAGAAAAAAAAAAAAGACAGCATGTAACAGTGGCTAGAAAATAAAAGATATCTAAGATTGAACTTTTTCTTTTGTGATAGAAAATTTCTTGAGGAGAGGGAGCACAAATTAAAAGAATAAGTAGCAGTAGTTCTATACCAGTGTTTCTCAACCTTGTCAACTTGAAGACATCTGGACTTCAACTCCCAGAATTCCCCAGCCAGCGAATGCTGGGAGTTGAAGTCCAGACATCTTCAAGTTGACAAGGTTGAGAAACGCTGTTCTATACTGTTCAGACATCAGACAGCTGAACTTATTAATTAGTTGAAATACATGTTTATATGCCTTTTATTTCAAGTGGTAGATCAAGAACTCTACAATTCTTTGGAGGGTTTGTTAGCAGTTGCTCAAAGATATGATCTGAGAAAGCAAATACATATTTATGAAATATGGTTAATATATTCCACAATGCTACACTATAGGGTAATGCAAGATGTACTCTGGAGCACGTCTTCAGTTCATGAATGATGTTAGTGATGCAATTAACAAATCTAACAAAATGATGCAACAACAAATATGCAAGAAATGAGGGTAAAAGGAGATGACCTTAACAGAGCTAGACCAGATTTGAAGAGAATAACATGGCTTAAGTTCAAAACAATGAGAAACTATGGGTTAAATAGCTTAGACACACCTCCCTAGTTCACATGTATATAAAAAGGGAAGGAGAGACAGCATAGTCACACTTGCAAGTTTCTATTACAGATAATCCAAATAATAGTAGATTTGGCCTTCCTGTCGAGTGAATGTTACTTTGTAGGGCTGACAATGTGCATTCTAAGTTATGTCTAGGCTTCTTCTGGAATATGCAGGGTTTATGGACTGGGATATTGTTTCACTGAATATTAGCAAGTTTCAAAACATTTGAATTGATTAATAATATATATGAATCTTGCACTTAAGATTACTTTTCCTTTTACAATCTCATTTTCTTTATTATTTTAGATATGGACATGGTTATGAAATATTTTGTGTTGCCTGCAATAATGCAGGCACTGTGATAGCCTCTGCATGTAAGGTAAGGAAATACTTTCAAAATTCACATGCAAAGTGATAAATATCTGATTGTTCACTGTATTAGATGGTTTTAGGAACAACAGAAGAATCATATCATTTTCAGTAGTCTAATTCTGCATCCCACATGTTATATATTGTATAATATGTGACACACACACACACACATCATACACAATATTTTATATATATATATATATACAGGGCGGGGCATAACCTTTTCCTAGGGGGTCACAGCAA